ATTCAAACATGTCATCGTGACATTAAGAAAAAGATAGCACCACGCACTCTTTCGTACTGCGTTTCCTTGCCTTTCTGAAAAGTTCTGCCTCTGAGTGAGAGAAAGTGATAGAACTCTGAAACTTGCAGGATATGAAGACAACCTTTATCCTCACCACCAAAAAAACTTTCAGCCCTCTACGACTTTCCTAGACAGAGTTGTGATTTTTTTAATTTTGCCTGTTTTTCGCTGACGTGAGAAAATGCGTAAAATGCCCATAACTCCCCAAGGGAAAAGTCTCCGCCCGAACCCTCTTAGGCTTTTTACGCACTCCACATACCCTATCGATCTACGCAAGAACGAACGAAATCGGAGTGCTTCATCTCCATAGGTTCCCTCGTAAGTAGTTTAGAATATAGTTTATTGAAGAATTTTAAAACTATTATAAATGATTTTTGTAAACAATCATCGTTATCCGGTATGACAAGTAAAGTATTAATTAAAATAAATTGGTTTGATGAACTAATAGAACTTTTAAAAAATAAGAAATTATTATCAAAAAATTATAATAACATAGTAAATAAATTACTTTCTGCTAATGTTAACATTAATAGTTTAGAAATGAATAAACGTATTGAAGAAAAAATTTGTCAAATTGAAGAAAATAATATTCAAGTAACATACAAACAATTGTGTGATATATTAAATTTTAAACAATCAGAAACATTATTAAAATCAAAAATAGAAATTGAAGAATTCGTAGAAAAAATTTATTTGATGAAGAAATAAATGGAAAAGATGAAGATGATACATCTAATATATCATCATATTAGATATAGAAAAAATGATAGAAATCATTTTATTGCAAGCATCTGATGAACAATATGATAATTATAAAGATAAATCATTACGAAAGAAAGTAAAAGATAGCTATAAAGGACAAATTGAATTTATTTTAGCACAAAAAGAGTTAACTGAATGCCCTAAAAATCTTTCTTTTATGTTTCAAACCTTATGTAAAGAAAGTTATTATCATGATGATGATCAACTAAATAATAATGCTTCAAAGAATATACAGAAAATACAGGAAATTATTAAATTAGAAGCTAAAGATGGAGAAATATTAATTCATAATTTTCATTTTAATTTAGATTATCGTTATTATAAACTAAATTCTGACTCTATATTAAAAAGTTCTTTTTCAATAGAATATATTGAAAAACATATTAAAAAGTTAAAAGAAATAATAAGAATTTTATCCAATTTAAATCAAGAAAGTTTTCTTTGTAAAATAAAACAAAAATGTCTTAAACAATATTGTGATTTAAAAGACATGTTATTTAGATAAGTCATATTTTGGGGCTCTTCGGATACCATGTGCTCATTGATGGGGGTAGGGGGAGAAGGCAAAATACTATGGGAGGGAGTACAGTGGGCATTCTTCTATAGAGCAGACAGATATCTGGTTTTTTGAGTTAAAAAATGATTATTTTGGCATAATATGGTCTTTCTATGTGACAGCTCTTAGTAGAAGTAAAAAAGGCCGAATTCGAAAAAAAATGTTTTTCGACATAATATTCCTTAGAGGAACCCTTGCTCCCGATTTTTGTTTGTAAAATATTTTATTTGTAAAACTAACAAAGTATATATCATTCGATGCAGCTTTCCACGCTGATTCCGAATATGTAGATATTGTCCGAATAAAATTGTTTCTGATATAAGAAAACTCAACTTTACCTGAAAAACCAAGGGTTTTTGGAATACCTATATCTCAGTCCAGTCAAAAAACCGCATGCACTATACATGCAAGGCACCGAGAGGAACATTTTGGTGTAAAAATCAGTCCGATTGGACATCCGTAAATCGCGCGTTTCAATGAAACTAATCACTCCGTATTTTCTTCTAGTTTCTCTCGCAGGAATGTCTCATTCAATTACCTACCCAAATTATTTTTGTTTTTGAAATAGCTTATTGCGTCGGCTTTTCGAATCTAACGTCATTTTTCATCTAGCTATTTTTCATTCTCAAAAAAATGAACTTTTTTCGATAGGTAACTAATTCTAGCAGTAATTTTCCATACAGAATTTTTCAAGAAGGAACAGTCTTAAAGTTTTTCTGCACTAAATCGTCTGCCACTCGCAGTGCATACGACGCTGTTCAAATCTCAAAAACGTTTAGTTACGAATTTTAGTCAAACTTCCGCCTAAATCCCCACTGTGGGGAGGGGGTAAAACGGGGATGTCCACGTGGTCCGTTGATTTACAGAAAGCAAACATTGAAAGAGATAAAGCTTTATTTCATAAGGTAGAAAAAGAACAAATCATATTGGACTTGAAGTCCCTTATATGATTTACATAGGTGTATTGTAATTACATGTTTCTATAGTCAAGAATTATTTTTGGATGAACAGCGAATTGTCAAGACTCCACTGGAGCAGATGTGACTGTTGATATACTCTCCAATCGCTGACACTGATAAAACGCTTACTGCGGGTAATACTAAAAAACTGAGCTTTTACTGAACTACTGAACGCTGAATTGCAGTGATTGGTCGTATAATAAATCAAGATATAGGCGTAAGATGTCGCTCAGCTCGAGAACCAAAAGAGCCTTCGAGAAGGCGTGTTCGCAAAGGCGGAAAAAATCTTCATGAAGAGACTATGTCAGGATGATTTTCTCTTTTTAAAACCGCTTTACGAACATGTGTTTGCAGAAGGAATTTTGAAATAGCAAAATAGTATGCTTGTATTGTGCTTTTTTCATGAACTGTGCAGATTTAGTTCCCAAAACAGATTTTTAATTAAAATACTCATCTTCTAGCTCCCACAATGCATTCTATTTATGTTTAAAAAACACAATCTAAACAATTGAAAGTTCTGAACCACTACTAACACATAGAAAAATATCTGACGTAGAAAAACAAAAAATACGGCTACTTCAAATCACACACAAGAAAAATATTTGAGTTATACATACGAAAAAATAGCAAAAAGAATCTGAAATATACAGCATCATTCTAGGTATCAGTTAAAGAGATACGAAGGAGCAAACAAAAACCAAACCGAATAAGGAAAAAAATATTTTCAACAGTTTCCTCCTAATTATTTCACCACAATTAATTTTGAAGTTTTTTTCATTTTTTCCTTGGTCTTAATTCACGTTTAAATGTTTCTGGTGTCATATCTTGTGCAAATGCAGAAGCCGCTGTACGACCCGGATCGCTATGCTGTTGTTTAATTGTTGTTGTTGTCGTCTCAAGTGGTTGATCTAAAAAAAAAAAGGGAGAAATTATAACTATAGTGGAGATCGCAGATCAGAGTTCCTTCAGGTCGCAGTCATGAAATTGTCAGTCTAAAAACGTGCAAGTCAAGCCGAGTGGTTTGTTATTTGTTTTAGACCAATTTAAGTGAGCTGTCTTTTTTTCCGAGCAAATCAGCCGAAAATTGTCCATTTTTCGAGATTGGAAATAGAAATAAAGCGATAACAATAAGAAGGATAGCTGCTGCTTCTTTTTCAATTTCTTCAGTCAAGTAAAGTCAAATTAAGTCACTACTTTTTGTTTTCTTAACTAAAGGCAAGTCATAAATAATTTTTCATGACTAGCCCCGCTCTGATATAAAGGGTGGGCCAGAAGTCCTGACTCGATTTGAATAATAACTTTTTCTATAGTGAAACAAGTGGTTGTAAATTTGTCTCTATGAAGAAAAGATGCAGTAAAAAACGCTCTACAAAATGACGATTGATTGACCCCGTTAGCTC